CATAAATTTTGAGCTCAATTTTGATTGTAAGTTGAGGATCACCTGTAAAACTGGTAAATCCACCAGGCATGAAAGGACTTACTAAGGAAATATGAATATTATAAATTAAATAATTGGTATTTTAAATGAATAGTCACATAAAACTACTGATGATCAGAATCTATAAGAGAACAGAAAACAAGGATGAGGAAAAAAGCTAGTCTTTTATAATATAAAAGGACTTAATTTTCTTCATTTCTAATTACTTATATTACCTCTATAATTTACACTAGATGTCATTGGTATGAAGTTCTGATTACAATCTGATTTTATTAATAAAATATCATTTAACATAGTACAAAATTATATTTTATATTGCTCACTTGGTATGGAAGTTATTAACCTTGCTGATGATAACATCACTTAACAACTGAAAAATTTTTCCTATTAATTTTATAGTTCTTTCCTTAAGAGAGAAGAAACTAAATCAATCTACACCCTGTTTCTCCTCATTTAAAACTGGAAAGGAAAAGGTACCAAGCTCCGTCAGAAGAATAATTTTATCATGAATGTACACATTTCTAAATATATGGGGATTGTTCATATTCCCTGTATTCAATTAATCTTATGCATTCTTAATTTGAATTAACCAAAATCATGGTCCTCATTACTTTTTTGCCCTAAAAATACCTAAGGGAGATTTAGTCAACAATCTTCCTTACATCTTTTGCCACATTGGCTAGTAAGATCAACCCTAAAGGATGACAGAGAACAGTGAGGCTTTCTATTTGTTCTTCTATGTGAAATCTATTCATATTTCAGAGTATTAGAAAGTGTCTTTCACATCCTGAAATGTAAATGTGTACAATGAAAAAGCTTGTATCTCCCATGATGAGGTACATTGAGGTACATTGAGGTACACTTCCAGAAGAATCACTAATGATGGGTATGTCACAGAAAAAAAAGATCAGATTAAATGAATTTAATCCATTGGAAATGGAAATAGCAACCAACAATAGTAGAAAATTAGACAATTGCAAATAGGAGAAATCAGCATAATACTAGAAGGCTAAGTTTTCACACTGGAAAAGTCCAATGGCCTATTGGAAAAGAAGAAGTAGCACTAGTCCTTATTATGTCGCCTTTTTAAAGCCAAAAGGAAGCCCAGCTGTTGTGGACAGAGCAAAAAGAAGGTACAATGCTGAATATCTATTAATCCTACCGTTACAGGGAATGTCAGAACCAGAAACCAAGACAAACTTAACAATGTTAGAATAGACATGTCAAGACTCAGTGTTGACATTCTGGAAATCAGTGAACTGAAATGAACTGAAACTTCATTTTATATCAAAGAAACATCAGATCTTCTATTGTACACTAGAAAAGCACAGAAGAAATGGAATAACCATAATTATTAACAAACATGGTGTCAAAGTCAGTGTATCAATATATCCCCCCAAATGAAAGATGTTTTCTGTTTGATTCTAAGTCAAGCCAAACAATAATATGGTAATTCAAGTTATACTGTAAAAATAGAGGCAGAGGAAGCTACAGCTGAACAATTTGATGGTGATTTGTAACAGCTTGTACACACTTTTAAAATTGTCATATTAATTATAGGAAAATAGAATATTAAATTTGGAAGCAAAACAGGATCTAGAATAATGGGGAAATTTGATCTTGGTGTATAAAATCAAGTGGAAGAGAGGCTAATACCATTCTGCCAAGAAAATTTAAATGCCTTGTTGAATATCTTCTTCAAACAAATTTAAAGATGAATTTCCTTATGGATACTGCTGGATGGAAAAAATCAAAATTGACTACATATTGTGTAAACAAAGAAAAACAATGCCATTCAGCCAACAAAAACAAGATCAAATGTGGCAGAGATCAAAAGCAATTTACAAAATGATCATTTAAACAAAATAATAAAGCAAAATAATCAAACCAACAACTTACAGTATCAACAATATTTCATATTATTTTGAAATGATTTAATGGATTATATATGATAGGATATCTGAAGAATTCTAAAGAGAAATTTATGAAATCATTAAAGAAGAATCAAACAAAAAATTCTGGAAATGAAAAAAATAAAATTAAAAAATATGAATGACTCTCTGTTGATACATTGAAAATAGCTGAAAAAAATACTGAAGGCAACAAAAAAAATGAAAACTAAACATGGGGTCAAGAAAAATGGAAGAAAAAGTTCTATGTACATAAGTAATGTACAAAAATGAGGATAATAAACAAAAAGAAAAGACAGGGTACTTAAGTAAAATATAAAAATCAAGAACATTTTGTGCAAAAATGGAAATTGTACAAATATGTAGAACTGTATCATCAATATCGCCCTGCCCAAGAAAACAAAGGAAAAAATTGCTACATATGAAGGTTTGATCATTAAACTATAGACAGGCATAATAGAAAATGAAATTTTATAGGCTTTAGAACATATTGCTAACAACAAAGCTGCATGAGCTGATTAAATACCAGATGTATTCTTTAAAAGCTTGCAAGATAATGCAGTTAAAATGCTATAAGCAGTGCCAAGGAACTGGAAAAGATTAGTTTATAATCCTGTAACATAAATTGCAGTGCTAAAGTATGTTCAAACTACCAAATAATTGCACTTATCTCATATAAAACAGTACTTGGAATTAGAATTGGCAGACACACAAGCTGAACTCAGAAAAGGCAGAAGTAAATACCGCATTGGTAATACCAATGAATAATGGAAAAGGCAATGGAATTTCAGAAGGATGTCTATTTTATTAATTATATTAATTATTATTATATTATATTATGATATGATATGATATGATATGATATGATATGATATGATATGATATGATATGATATGATATGATATGATATGATATGATATGATATGATATGATATGATATTATATTATATTATATTATAGCTATTCTTCAACTGTGTAGATTATAACAAACTTCAGTTACCTTAAAACACGGGGTGTTGTGATCAATTGGACCTCTCAGCGGCTTTTGATACCGTGGACCACGGTATCATGCTGCGGCGTCTCGGTGAGTTAGGAGTGGGAGGCACTGTTATGCAGTGGTTCTCCTCCTTCCTCACCGACCGTATGCAGTCTGTATTGGCAGGGGGACAGAGGTCGACTCCTAGGCCCCTCACTTGTGGGGTGCCTCAGGGGTCGGTCCTCTCTCCCCTATTGTTCAATATTTATGTGAAGCCGCTGGGTGAGATCATTCGAGGCTTTGGGGTGGAGTTCCATCAGTACGCTGATGATACTCAGCTGTACATCTCCACCCCGGGTCACCCCAACGATGCCCTTGACGTGATGGCCCGTTGCCTGGAGGCCGTATGGGTCT